AATCCTGTCGACTTGAACAGCCAGGCTAACGTGGAATGCCTCGTTAGATCCCGGATCTCGCGTCCCACCAGTAAATTATAGTAGAGATTATGTATCCTCATCAATGCCAACACCTCCTTTTCGGTCACGTTATAATTCAACTCGTTCATCTTCAAGGTGCGACTGTCGAACGCAACCTGATGGTAGATTCTGTCGTGTTCTTGAGTCAACAAAGCGGATATTGCCCAACCACTGGCATATACGATAACTACCGGTGTTCTTGTCTTGCCCGAAGTGACGGAGAATCGGAGTCGTAGCGATCTTGGCCTTCAGGGTGATGAAGGCTTGATCCACCTCTCATCTAATGACCCCGCCAACGGATGCTCTGGTGTGGCATTATCCCGTGCGATCGGGTCGTTCTGGTCCATAACCTTCCTCAGATCAGATCGTTTCTCCAATTCGGCAAACTCCACCTCGCGTAGTTCGTATAGCACCGAGACGTAAGTAGCGTAGTCTTCAATAAATCGGCTGTAGTAGTTGAGACTACCCAGGAACGACTGCATAGATCGAAGTGATTCGGGGAATGATAGATCGGTCAGGGATTTCAGATCTTTTGGATTCGCCTCTAGACCATCGATCGACACTCGGTGCCCCAAATATCCTACCCTACCATGCCCTAGAAGCTCTTTGTCACACGGGTCGATAAATTCCACTTATCACAAGCCTCCAACAGATCTTCCTACCTTTGGCACATTTGATCCCACGCCTCCACAGCGATCATGATGTTGTCAATGTATGATCTTCGTCCCAACACTGAGGCACGATCAGGATCGTCCGCGATCCCTGTCTGGAACACGTCCGTTGTATTCCCGGCGTCGCTTGATCGCGGGATTTTCAGATATCCATACAACGCGTTGTCTACGAGGCGTTGATAAATCTGCGGTGTATTTTTTAAGCCAAAAGGCATGCAACTCCATTCGAATAATCCAAGCGGGGTGATAAATGCTGAGATCTCGCGATCCCAATCCGTCATGGGCACGACCCAGAAGCCA